GGCGTAAAAAGCTGACCTATTTACACGAAATGACAATGTTATTCATATTTCATAGCAACTTTTGACCTCTAGTTGATCAACTGCATCTTCAGGAGCTGTTGTAGTCGTTCCACCTTTAGCGACGTTAGCAGACGAATATGGTCGGAGGCCACTGATCCTAGCCTCACTTACTACATCGTGAGTTTTCTTGCCAAATCCACGAAGGACACTCTTTGAAATTGAAACGGAGCTGCAACACCACCTACACTGTGCACGAGGAGATGCCCCATCACCTGTGTTGTTGCATAAGTGATGCAGCATCACCAACGGCGTTGCGCATGTACAGCAACACTTCCTTGTCGCTGTGCCGGAGTTTCTTACGCAATTGGCTGCTGTGGTAAAACACTATTGATAGAGTGATGCTGCAGCACTTTTCCTTGAAATCTGGCATGGAATTTGTAATACAATAGAAGGGTGCTTGTTCCATGCTTTTTCTTTGCAGGTTTCTTTGCCATGTACTCGCCTCTTTTGCCCCAAACTACTACATATTCATTTTGTTACGATTCATCATAGGTGCAGCTAGTGATGTGAGTTACAGGGTTTTGTAGGGCCAGGCAACGTTACATGAATAATGGAAACCTTAATTTTAGACTTACTACTCGTTATGCTCTGTAATTACTTGTGAATTGATCCCGTCTGCAAGCAGGGCTTGGATAACTCTTGTTGAGACAATAGGTTCGTTTCGTTATTTGAATAAAAAGCAAACAGAAATTATTTTTGAGGTCTTTTCTATCGCAATTACACCACTGAATGACGTCTGTAAAATTTAGCATGGGTTTTTGGGATGTTCTGGGTCGGTGTGCTATCGCTGTTTATGAAGGAGTGGCGCATGATGTATTTGGCATCTGCAGCGCCCGGAATTCTAACGATTTTTTACTTCTTGTAAGTAAATTCTTCTATTGCGAAGAAAGACTACACCGTTTAAAAATTACCTAGTTTTCAAGCCAGAAAATTCTCGATACCAAATTTCCTAACAAGGTCTTGTTCTTACGTCACCCGCATATTTCAAATGTATCTTATCGTGTCCTATTTTCACGTTTCCAGAGACTTTTTTTTACATGAAAATCATAGTTATTTGTTTGGGTTTTGGAGCAGATCTATTCAAATA